GAGAGCGAGAGAGAGAGAGAGAGAGAGAGAGAGAGAGAGAGAGAGAGAGAGAGAGAGAGAGAGAGAGAGAGAGAGAGAGAGATTGAGGGAGGAGGGGAGGGGAGGGGTGAATGTGTGTGTCATAGATCCAATTTGGACAGCTTTTGAAGGGAGTGAGAGAGAAAGGGGGATTTAGACATACACAAACATATATAAACATATACCTTTATATTATTATTTGGAATTTGAGTCATGTTCTCTAACGAAGATGAAATGGTGTTTAATATCACTGCTCCCACGTACAATAATACTTTATTTGATGATTCTGTCGCCATGGGTCGCTTCAGCAAACACAGCGGTACGTCCCTCTCTCGAGAGTCCAGAGAAAGCAAACAGTTGTACTACTTAAACCTCTCGCTGATTGAATCGGTATCTCCTCTCTGTCGAGTGAATTCATTTATTGGTATTATTACTACTCGTTCTCCAATCGTAGGCCTCGGGACTTACTTTATACACGTATGTTATGTACAGCTCGGTGACTTGCTCCTTAAGGTTTCCGTGTCGTGTGGACCAAAGTCTCTATAAACCCACTACCGGGGTAGACGAATGTCGTTATTGTCATGCTGATAAAGGGCTGTGTACAAAGGGGAAAGGGGAGTTGAGGATAAGTTCATCGAAATAAAGATCGAACGATTGATGTTTTTTTCTTTTTTTTGGTGTGGTTTGTGTGTGTGTGTGTGTGTGTGGGGGGGGGGGGGGGGGGGGGGTTACAAATAGTAATTTATTTTACTCTCTAGTAACACCTCTATAATTTCCGGCGCTTACGGCCTATTTGTATTGCACGTGCCGTGAAGTTCTTCCTAAAACTGAGCTAAACTAAACTGTCACCAACCCTCATCACAGGCCCCGAACACTGCACTGGGCGAAATATCTCATTATACCTTCCTCTCTAACACAGGGGCGGTATCTTTCTCCGTATCTACTTTGTTCCCTTTCCTGTTCTCTTATGTGCTAATTAGCCAACCGAGGGTTGAATTAAGGGAGGGAAAGAAAGAAAGAAAAAGATAATAGTGTTCGAAATAATTTAAGTATGTGTAAATATTGCCTTGAAATGAACAGAGGGAGAGAGAGCGAGAGCGAGAGCGAGAGAGAGAGAGAGAGAGAGAGAGAGAGAGAGAGAG